CTTCACTTTGCTCCCACAACACTTTGGACTCGTTCTTCGCAAGGGCTGTAATGTTTTATCGGAACAATTTGTGTGATTTCAGCTCCGGGGGTTTGTGAGATAATCATCTGGCTGGAATCGGTGACAAATAATCAACATATTTCACCACTCCTGTGGATGTGTAGACATTTGTTTTCACCATATCAGACAGAATTCAGACTTTTTTTTATTTCTTTCTTCAAACAATTGAACAAGCCAGAGACATGTATTAAGTAAGGAACAAAACACAAACACAGCAAATAAAGTCTTAAGTGAGGTTATTGTTCTAGAAGTTTTCTCCATTTTATTTGGTCCAGTTTTAATAAGCCTTGCAGCAACTATCTTCTATCTAGCAACCAGTTTGTTTTGATGAATGCACAATACAGCTTGTCATCATTTTTGAATATTCCTGGTCTCAATGCACAGCTGTTCTGGCCGCGAGCTTTGTGCAGCATGCTAATGATGATACGTTTGTGAGCACTCTGTCAGGAACTAACATTTGTCACTGATAATTCGTACATATTTATGCTAGTCAGCTGCACATTTAGACCTCACAACAAGCTTATGGGGTGTGTTGAGGTAATGCAATTAAAGTAATGAATTTATAGCTGACTGCCAAAAAGCTCTTTGACCTTTTCCGAGCTATCATGTTGTCTGATTTTTCAGTGCTGAGTCATGGGTTCCAAAGGTTCCAATGGTTTTATCATAGAAAATGAAGTTGTTTAGCAGAATCCTAGCCTAGAAATTCAGGATTTATAATCACGACCAAAATTAATGCCCAATCCTCAGTCATGAATCCCAGTTTATCTACTTCACTGATTAAGCCTGCCATGTTTACATCAATCCTGTCGAAGGTGTCCAAGTGATTGTGCTTTCAATGTGTAATTAGCCAAATGGGGCTGCTGCTGCTGGAAGAGTGCTCATATATGTATGGGGTCATGTTTCATTACGCTAAATTGCCCTCATACTGAGGCGCATTCTTTCTGCCTTGGCGCCACGCTCCTTTTAGATTTGAATATTTAATCAGTCCGACGTCCTCGGAGCGAAAGGAAGTGGTGTAAAGCACACTGATGGATGGGCATTAGCAGACCACCGGTTAACAGCTTACCATCTGTGGTGATGTAACTTTCAAGCTCAGCATCACCGCTATGGACATTTGTTGCCAAGATTTAGAAGATAAAGAGCCGGATAATGTGCACCAATAAATGCAGGTTTAGACAGGCCCAAGTGTGCAAAGTCAGCGTTCTTCTTTACAATTGGCTCAATCAGGAGAACAGTAAGGAGATGTGAAGGGGTTGATTATAACTGTTATAAAACAAACTAATGCTGTTTCACATTGCACAGAGAGTTGGGAAGGAAACAGGAACATCGATATCCTTGAAACTCAGAGGTCAGAGGTTAGATGTTGGTGCTGATGGCATGGCATGGGATACTCTCAATCTCAACCTGTCAATCACAGCGACACTAGCTGTGTAATCATGGGCATGTGTGATCTCATGTATGTGGAAGAGGGCAGATAGAGGGCACTTTCCTGAGTTTGTACACTGCCATGTAATGCAGCATAAGCAGCAGTTTGAAACGATGACGTTGGTTGGCTTCACGTGTCTTGGACGACGCATGCGTTAGCCCTCACCCTACCCTACCTATATGGTATATGGTATAATGGGGAAAGCTAGCTGGTGGGTAGAAATTAGCAAATACCCAAACTAGACAGAAAATGGGGTAAAAAACAGTTGATGGCAGGAGGATCCAGGCAATCCTGTCCATGTGCAATTACAGTAGATTTAACTGACATTTGTGGAGTGAAATATGATGACCAGGTTTGCTAAAATTGAGCCCTATGTTGTATATATTAGAACAGAGTTTCATGTGGGATGTGGGATATCCCTTGGGACATCAGTATACCACATTTTTTGTTTTTTTTGGGCGACTTTCTCTGATTTCCACCAAATTCACACTGTTGGTTACTGAGTTCAGTATTATATTTGGTATCACAAAACTATGTTCAACAACTTATCATCAAATAACCAAATAAAAACATAGGGATTTTACAGCGATTTAACCAGATGAATCCTAGCTAATGCTAGCACAGTGCTGTGTTTAGGTAGAAATTAAACAAACAAGGAGGCAGTCACACTAGAAATATGCATTTTATGTGAAATTAGTGAGTATAAAAGTCCTGCATTTTGGTACAGTTAACAATTTAAATGTTTTAGCTTTGACTAGCAATACTGTGGTTGAGAAAACATCTCTGCTTTGGAGGAAGTTAGCTAACTCACAGATACACAATAAATAGTAAAAAAAAAAAAAACCACACAAAAGTTAAAGACTTGACAAACTGATGTCTATTTCATGCAACTACATCAACCACCAAATTAATCAAAATGTGTCTGTGCAAAACCTGAAAATTGGAGGCTCAGATTTCATCTTTGGAGTGTGATAGGACAAAACTAAGTGCACTCCCTTCTTTGTCTCGATCCCACTATCCAACAATGCGAATTGGGCGTAAGTCAGAGAAAGTCAAATTTTTCACACCAAAAAATGCAAAGGCCCTTAGACCCTTAGATTTTTATAGGGTGAAAAATTCTAATTTCTCAGATTTTCTCCAAATTCACACCATGTGTTATGGTGGCCATGACTAAGACAGGAGTGCACTTAGTTTCATCCAATCATGCTTCAAAGCTGAGATCTGAGCCTCCAGTTTCCAATTATATTACAGTCAATGAAATATACAGGTTTTGGTTGCATGAAGGTAAACATTTTAATGTTTGATTTGGGTTAAAGCAGACACACAGTGCATGAAATGATCAATTTGTCCAAAAACCATCAACCAATATCAAAGTGGAATGGAAACGATTTTTTCCTCTGTCGTGTCCTCATGTTGTGTTCCTTTATACCGGTACTGTATAGCGTCGCTTATTTGACGCAGTGCAGCTGTTGTCTTTAGCCGCAGGTTGGTACGCTTATTGAAGCTGAGTGATCGATAGCAGCCGTCGAACGTTGTTGAGTCAGTGGATTAACATCACGCTCTCATTAAGCTGTGAAGTGAAGTGACAGAATCAAGTCGACCGTGCGATCAGATTTTGCTGATGCAGAAAACGTTACCTTGAGGAGACGTCAAAAGCCATTTAGGGACCACCGTCGCTGTCCGATATATCTCTAACAGAGGAGATTGCAGGATGGCCTGTAAAATCGACCCGAATGAATAAACCAGTTGTCAATCGACTATGTTCGAAACCTTATTATAATTGTGTTGTTGTGAAAATGGCTCAGTACAAAAGAGTGAAGCGAATGTGTGTGGTATATATGTGTGGTGCCTGGGAAAATCCTTGACATTTCTACTTCAACTTTCCTGAAATATGTTTCCTTTTTGCATGTATCTCAAGCACTCTTAGCCCAGTTACCACCAAAAGTGAAATTTTGGCTGATTTTTCTTCCTTTTTTTTTTTGGCAGATTGCCAGAATTCAACCACAGCAACATCTGATGGGTTTTTCCAGACCGCCACACATCGACGATTGACGACGGCTGCTATCGATATGTGACTGTTAGCTTAAACAAATCATGTTCAATATGTATGTAGGCTGATAGACATATATTCTGACACAACAGTATGATTCAGCTTCTTCAGCAAAAAGTTTTGGCTTCAATTAGTATTAAACGGGGATTGTGGATACTTTTAAAACCAGTATGTTGCATAAAAGGTTTGAAAGGTTTGAAAAGAAACATCCTTGTATGCATGTTGTCCCAACTTCTCAGTGCTTGCTGCGTGGTTCAGAGCTGATTTCATGTTTTGTTTCTGTCTCCGCCCCTGATCTGTCATTGGTGTGTTTCCTGATTGTGCCCACCTGTTCTGTGTTAATCTTTATTTAACCTGTTGTATCATGCATTTGTTACTTTTTAATCCAAACCTCGTTCAGTGTCCAGGTCACTGTTTTGTGTGTAGTATTAGCTAAGTTTGACCTTGGTTTATTTCCTAGGTTTTTACAGTTTATTTTTGGATCCTCCTGGTTTGTTGCTGTCTTTCTGTGTTTCCACCCACTGCAATGGACTTTGACTATGATTCATTGATTGCCTTAAATAAATATGTTAAATGTACACACTTGTGTCCTCCTGTCAATAATCTCTCACTGTATTACTCATGTGAAATTCATTTAGTATAGGCTATTCATTTTTGGTCACATTTATGAAGGATGCCAATAAATATGGAGTGGTTGTACCTGTATATAGTAAGTAAATTACAGTTTTGTGTGTGTGTGTGTGTGTGTGTGTGTGTAAAATGAGACAGTGAGTGCATTTAGAATGCTAGTGTGCATCTTGTATTATTTATTAAAAGCTGGAAGATGAATATGTGTTTATTGAAATGGTATTTAAGTCCTGAGCTCTTTATGCTGCTGCAAAAATGCAGTATCTCAGAATTTAACAAAACACACTACATTGCGAGTATTGTGATCGATGCTACCGCTGGATTTCTCCCCATACACACGTGGTCCGTGCTGCGTGACTAGCTGAGCTCTTGACTGTACCCTGAGGCCAGGACGGTGTGTTGTGTTTCCGCATGATGACTGCGTGTCCTCGCTGCTGAAAGATCGCCACTCGTCTGTCAGCTCTAACAAAGACGGCACGAGGCGGATCTCGCTTCACAGCTGCATTTGTGCCGTAATGAGTGTTCGATGATAAACATTTTCATTTCTCCTTTGTCAGTGGATAGCATGTGCTTTGTTTTTTAGCTGATAAGGATCATGAAAAAAAAATGTAAAGTTAACAATGTCCTTCCCTAAGCTTTTTTTGCTTACATTTACAGTATTTACAGCATACAGTACAGTAAACCCATAACCTCACATCACACACTCAGATTTACTAAAGGTCCGTTTACATTTACGGCATTTGGCAGACGCCATTATCCATAGAGACTGACATTTATCACATTTATACAACTGAGCAGTTAAGGGCCTTGCTCAAGGGCCCAACAGTGGCAGCTTGGCAGTGCTGGGATTTGAACTAACGACCTTCCGATCAATAGTCCAACATCTTTTAACCACTGAGCTTCAACACCAAAGCTTCAAGACTTCAACACCTCAACAAATATGCAAGCAAATTTACTTGATCTACTGACAATTACATAAAATTTTCACACCTTGGTGCTATTGTCATTGACTAAATTAGGACTCTTTCAAACCTATTGTGTTTGGTTTGGTTTGGTGTCACACATCAACACAACGATGCAAGAAACGTAACCAAAGCTACGCACACTTTTTTGGGAAAATCACAAAATCTTAGAGAACACAGGGCCTGC